GCATATAAAGATCTTTATGAAAGCAACAATACAAGTACGAGTTATGTTATAAAAGTGTATTGAGTATCAATTTAACATAAAGTTTGGCTATATATATGATGTATGATTTACAATGATAGTTGGGACAAAAAGGTTCCCAAATGTAACTACCTTGTAAGTGGGGCAAAAGGGACCCCAAAAGAAATGATACATGCATAACAGGTGTGGCAAAAATGACCCCTAAGGAGGCAAAAGGAATCTCTATGGAATTCAATGGCGATAATGCCAGGTTATCCTGGGCTCCAATGAATTTGTTTATGAAAGAATAGCCAAACCTTTTTATGAGAAAAATTGATATTTAATATAGATCTAAGATAACAGTTAAAAGGTAATGTCAAATAAGATGTTTTGTAGATTCTAATAGTTTAAATTTTTATTTATGTTTTAATGTTCTAAATTTTTAATAGGTATATTTAATACTAATTACAACTGCATTACTTACTGAGTCTCATAGCTCACCAGTATTTTCATTGCTGGCTGTTGTTACAGGAAAAGGGAAAGAAAAAAATGGTTGCTGACTAGTTCAAGTATTTCAATCCTATATATTAATTTTATTTCTGTTTGTAAAACTAAACTAAAGGTATGTTAATATTCCCATGGAATGTTTGTTTCAAATTTTTATGGCTCTATAATTATAATTTATGATTACTTAAAAATTTTTAGTACTTCCGTTGATGTACTAGTAAAGGTTTATGATATATAAACATGCAAATGATAGATTGTTTCAAATGGTTATAAGATGAAAATTGTTATGTTTTATTTGTTATACTCTACAGTACTGTTTAAGGGTACCGTAGGGTGTTACAAAAGTGGTATCAGAGCAAAGATTTAAGATTCTGATGATTCAATTACAAAAGCATAAGCAAAGTGAATTGTCTAAGCGGATACAAATTGGATCTAATGAAATTATCACAGAGCCTAAGAGAGTGTAGTAGTTCTAAGATAGTAATGAGTCTAATTTCAATTGATGTATACATGTTTAATTTCAATTTGGCTTGCATGTAAGCATATGAAAATAATACCTAAATAGAAGTACATGAATATGAGCATACATAACTCCTGATGTCATGCATTGCAAATATAATTGTTGATAGAATAAATGAAAGAGATAAGGGTCAGTCATCTCAGCCTATTAGGATCTCTGAAGATCCTAAAAATGAAATACTAGGGTAAGGCAATGTACCTAGAGTAGACAGTGCACCAGTCATGCCTGATTCTACCAATTTGATGTTAAGAAATATGATACAACTACAAATGATGATTATGATGATGTAGATGATAAAAAAGATGCAATCGATAGTGGGATCTGCAACACCTGGTGTTCCGCCTATTGTTACACCTGTCACAACTAACACTCCAGGTAGTAGTGCAAATGTTGAGGCATGTGATATGGTGGGGGTCGAAGTGGATAAACATCTAAAGAATTTCAAGATTTTAAAACCTCCATTGTTTAAAGGAAGAGTTATGCCAGAAGTGCTGAAGACTGGATCATCAGGATAAAGAAGATTTTAAATGGAATGAGGTGCCCTAAAAATCGACGTGTATCTCTAGCAACCTTTATGCTAGAAGGTGAAGCTGAAAGGTGGTGTAGGGGACATCAACTGGAGAAATTCAGAAGTAAATCTGAGAAGCAAATTATGTGGGAGGAATTTGAGCAAGTTTTCATGGAGTGGTATGTTCCTCCATCAACAAGACAAGCAATGCATATGAGCTTTGTTAATCTAAAGCAAGGAGCAAAAATTGTTATTCAGTATGAAGCAAAATTCACAGCTCTGTCAAGGTATGCTCCCCAGCTTATCAGTACTTCTAAGAAAAAGTATTGTGGATTTTTAAAAGGATTGAGTGATTCATTGAGGCAACCATTAATTCCTCTTCAAATAAATGAATTTGCTGAATTGGTAGAAAGTTTCAAGCAGACTTAATAGTACTTCCATTAGTGGAGTTTGATGTAATCTTGAGAATGAATTGGTAAGTCAAATACTTAGCCACCATTGAATGTTGGAAGAAAAGGGTTAAATTTGACTAGCCTGGGGATGATGTATTTTACTATCAGTGTGAAAGGGGAGTAATTTCTTCATTGATTGCTTCTAGTCAAGCACTTAAAAGTCTAAAGATGGGTGAGTTGGTTTTCTTAGCAAAGTTAGAAGCAACCAAAGAAACTAATGATAATATCAATTCCATTCTGGTGGTGAATGAATTTGTGGATGTATTCTCTGAGGAATGGAATGATTTACCTCCAGAAAGAAAAGTTGAATTGTTAATAAATCTTCAACCTGGAACAAATCCTATTATGAAATCACCTTACAGAATGGCAATCAAAGAATTACAAGAGTTGAAAAGTCAGTTGGCTGAACTAATTAAAAAGGGTTTCATAGAGAATTAAATAAGGTGATTATAAAAAAAAAATAATAGTATCTTCTTCCAAGAATTGACGATCTATGTGATCAATTAGATGCTTATGTATTTTCCAGGGTTGACTTGAGACCAGGTTATCATCAGGTTAGGGTGAAAGAATGTGATATTGAGAAGACTGCTTTTGGCATCAGATTTGGGCACTATAAATTTTTTGTTATGACATTTGGCTTAACCAATGCCCCTGCATTATTCATGGATATGATGAACAGAATTTTTAGATCTTATCGGGATCAATTTGTAATTGTGTTTATCGATGACATTTTAATATATTCCAAGAATGATAAGGATCATGTATATTATTTGAAGATTGTGCTAGAATTACTGAGACACCATAAATTGTTTGTCAAATGTTTTAAATGTGAATTTTGGCTGAAGAAAATTTTATTTTTGGGACACATTGTTAGTAGACAAGGAATATATGTGAATCCAGAAAAGATTAAAGTAGTAGTAGACTAGCTAAGACCCACTAATGTGACATAGGTCAAAAGTTTATTGGGATTAGCAGGATATTAAAGAATATTTGTTAAAGGATTTTCTCAAATTGCTTTACATTTATCTAAGTTAACCATGAAGGACATTAAATTTGAGTGGACTGATGATTGTGAATGAGTTTTTAAGAGTTGAAATAGTATTTAACAACTACACTTGTGTTGACAATTCCTTTTGGATCTAAGAAATTCCAGTTATTCAGTGATGCTTCTTTAAAAGAATTGGGGTGTGTGTTGATGCAAAACAAAAAGGTTATTGTCTATGCTTCTAGACAGTTGAAACCTCATGAAAAGAATTATCCAACTCATGATTTAGAATTGGCTGCAGTGGTATTTGCATTTAAAATTTGGATACACTACTTGTTCGGGGTAAGATGTGAGTTATTTATAAATCATTAGAGTTTGAAATATATATTCACTCAAAAGGAACTAAATTTGAGGCAAAGAAGAAGGTTAAAATTGATAAAAGATTATGATCTTGACATCTAGTACTGTCAAAGCTAATGTAATAGCTGATGCATTGAGCAGAAATTTCAGAACACAATTGCATTATATTTTAACTATGGAAGAAGGATTTATTAGAGAAATGAAAACTTACAATTGGAAGTCAGAGTGCAAGGAGATCAAAATGTTGTTAACCTTCAGCGGATGTCAGTTCATCCTTCTTTAAAAGAAAGAATCATTGAAGTTCAGAAGGCTAGTACTAAATATCAGAAGCTATTGGAGCAAGGACAATCAAGAACAAAAAAAGATATTAGTATTGATGACCACGAAAGAGTCAAGAGCAATGAACATTCATGAATATCAAATGAATCAAATTTGGTTCAAGAAATTCTATTTGAAGCAAATAATTCAGGTTATTCAATTCATCCAGGAAATACAAAGATGTATAAGAATTTGAAGACCTTATTTTGGTGGCCAGGAATGAAAATAGATGTAGCAGAATATGTGGCTAAGTGTAAAAAAAATGTCAAGTTGTTAAGGTTGAACATCAGAAACTTAGTGGCATGATATAATCTCTACCAATTCCACAATGGAATTGAGAAGAAATAGCTATGGATTTTATTACAGGATTTCCTAGGTCAAGACAAGGACATGATAGTATATGGGTTGTGGTTGACAGACTAATAAAGTCAGCTTATTTTCTACCTATTCGTTAGACTGATTCAATGAAAAAAAAAAATTTTGTGAAGGAAATCATTAGATTGCATGGAATCCATAAAGTTATTATTTCTGATAGAGATTGAAGATTTACATCTAAGTTATGGAAGAGTACACATGCAAGTTTGAGCACAAAAAATTAAAGTTCAGTACTGCTTTTCATCCACAGGCAGATGGCCAATCAGAAAGACTAATTCAAGTGTTGGAAGATATGTTAAGATTATGTATTATGGATTTTGGAGGTAGCTGGAAAGATTATGTTCCATTGATAGAATTTACCTATAATAATAGCTACCAATCCAATATAAAAATGGCTCCATATGAAGCATTAAATAGCAGAAAGTGTAGAACTCCATTAAGTTGGTTTGAAGTTGGTGAGAGACAAATATTGGGTCCACAATTGGTGGATTAGACTACTGAAAAAGTCAGACTAATTAGAGACAGGTTAAAAGCAGCTCAAGACCGCCAA